GCACCCCCTTCATGCGTTAACAACACCCCGAAAAAGGTCCACAAAATGAGGTGTGATGTGCAGAATCGGTATACCCATGCGACCCAATTCTAGTATGGACCAAAAAAAGGGTCCTGCACCTTTTTTTGGCACGGATGCGGTGCAATTGGAGCCATACAAAATGTATGACTCCAATCACGCCGCACACAATTCGCATGTGATTTGCACAGGAATGCGATGTGGTTCCAGTGCGAATCACATCCGCTATACCGCACCGCATATCTGTGAACCAAGACTTAATCTCCAAATATGGAAAGGTTTCTTCACAGTAAGAGCTGTGAAAATGTGGAATAAACTCCTTCAAGTGTTGGTTCTGACCAGCTCAGTGGATTGCTTTAAAAAAGTCCTGGATTCTTTCCTAGATACACAGAATATAACTGGATACTAACATTTATAGGTAAAGTTGATCCAGGGAATATCCGATTGCCTCTCGGGGATCAGGAAGGAATTTTTTTCCCTGCAGCAGCAAATTGGATCATGCTTTTCTTCGGATCAACTGTGATTATAGGATTATAACTTTTTTTTTTTTTATGGTTGAACTGGATGGACTTTTGTCTTTTTTCAGCCAGACTATGTAACTCCCATCCATCCCAGGTGATATTACATTTAAGGCTCCATGCACACGGGATGTTTTAATAACGTTGGTAACGTTAGCTGTGTAAAGTCACGTTAAAACGTGATATTTTCAGCGTTTTTGTATTAGCGTTTAGCGGAATTTTGCTGCTGTTTTTTTGCATTTGCATTTTTTTTTTAGTTTTTTTTAGGGTTTTTTGGTAAAAAGAAGTCCAAAAACACAGGTTTTCCACAATTTACCACGTTTTACCGCGTTTTTCAGCATTAGAGCGTTTTACAGCTAAAAACTCCTCTAGAAACCTACTAGTTCTGGGGGTTTTTTTTCAGCCAAAAAACGCCCCTGCCTAAAAACAGTGATTACAGTCTATGTGTGCATGGACACATAGGATAACATGCTGGGGGGTTTACTGGCCGTACAAAAAAAAGTGAAAAGCCAAAAACAGCCGCTGTAAAAACGTCCAGTGTGCATGAGGACTAAGGCTCCATGCACACGGTGCGTTTTAATAACACTTGTAACGTTAGCTGTGTAAAGTCATGTTAACAATGTAAGTTTTTCAGCATTTTTTTAGCATTTTTTGCATTAGCGTTTAGCCGTGTTTTTTAGCGTTTGCATTTTTGTGATTTTTAGCGGGGTTTTTTTGTCAAAAAAAGTCCAAAAACGATGGTTTTGACTCTTTTTACCCGCGTTTTGGCCGTGTTTTTTTCAGCGTTAGAGCGTTTTTACAGCTAAAAAACTCCTCTTGAAACCCACTAGTTCTGGGTTTTATTTCCAGCCAAAAAATGCTCCTGCCAAAAAACGCTGATTAAAAACCTATGTGTCCATGAACATGAATGCTGCTGCCAGACTCATCTACCTTACTAACCGTTCTGTTTCTGCCACCCCTCTCTGCCAATCCCTCCACTGGCTTCCAATTGCCCAACGAATAAAATTCAAATGCTAACACTGACATATAAAGCCGTTCATAACACTGCCCCAAATTACATCACCGATCTTATCTCTAAATATCACCCAAACCGTACTCTCCGCTCCTCGCAAGACCTCCTACTCTCTAGCTCCCTTGTCTCCTCCTTCCATGGTCATCTCCAGGACTTCTCCAGGGCTTCCCCCATCCTCTGGAACTCCCTACCCCAATCTATCAGACTATCGCCTACTCTGCTGACTTTTAGGCGATCACTGAAAACCTATCTCTTCAGGGAAGCCTATCCCGCCCTCTGCTAATACTGGAATCCTCTACTCCTCCAACCACTCCATCCCCCACAGTTATTATCTATTGTACCGTTAACCCCTCCCTCCTAGATTGTAAGCTCCAAGGATCAGGCCCTCAAATCCCTCTTGTATTGAACTGTATTGCTACTGTTTTGTCTCCCACTATAATGTACAGCGCTGAGCAAACTGTTGGCGCTATATAAATCCTGTATAATAATAATAATAATAGGATAACATGGTGGGGAGTTTACTGGCTATAGAAAAAAATGCCAAAAGCCAAAAACAGCCGCTGTAAAAACGTCCCATGTGCATGAGGACTAAATGTTTCCTCCAGCCCTGATGAAGGGGGAATTGTGTGGCCCCCAAAACATGTTGGCTCTCTTTTGCCCTGCTTGCTGTAACCAGCTGAGCCTTAAAGCCTTTGCACTCATAAGGACTTTTCATTTGGCTTTTTCTGTAACTTATTACACTTGGATTTCTCAACTCAGGTGAATGTCCTCTCCTGGAAGGTCTCTGTCCTTGTTCTGAGTTGCTGAACACCGGCCAGTTGGGCTCAACAGAGGCATAGCTAGGGTGGGGGCAGGGGGGGGATACATATGTACCCGGGCGCCAAGGTACAGGGGCGCCAAAATGAGGCTTACAACCAGGGGCGTATTTGCCGCGAGGCAAACAAGGCGTTTTGCCTAGGGCAGCACTTTTTAGGGGGGCGGCGCGGTGTCGCGGCCCCCCCCCCCCCTTCCAACAGAAGGGACACTTAGTACAGGGGCGGGCAGCAGGCTGCTGTGTCTTACCTGGTTCCATGTCCCAGTCCCACGACGACCAAGTCCAGGAGGCACTGCTGGAGGAGGGGTAGAGAGGTCCACAGGTCCGGTGTCTTCTTTTCCCTGGACGCGATATGTGGGCGGGATGACATGCCGCCCCTGTCATCTGGTCACACCCTCGGGATCACCGGACAGCCTATGGCAGCTTGTACCTCCCTCTGCAAGCTCCGCCTCCTCACCGATGATTGGGCGCCAGAACTGTAGCTCAGGAAAGGCACACAGGCGGCCAATCACCTGCGAGGAGGTGGAGCTTGGAGAGGAGGAGCCGAGCGGCAGCGCGAAGATCGAGTGAGGGAGCGGCCGGAGCAAGTGAAGAAGACAGCTGACCGGTAAGTGTGCCGTGCAGATGGTGCTGCTGCAACCAGGTATGCTGGCTGTGGACAGGAGAGGGAAGGCGCCTAGGCTGGAGCAGGGGTCAGCAAGGTAAGTGTCATTGGTGTCAGTGGGAGGAATAGTACCCCATCATTGGTGTCACTGATGTGATTAAACGGGGAGGGGGGCTGGGGCGCCAATTTTATAGTTCGTTCCCGGGCGCAAAATATCCTAGCTACGCCTCTGGGGCTCAAGTAATGACTTTGCCTGCACTTTGGTACCACGAGAAGATCCACACCCAGCACCCCTCTTCCACTACATCTTGGCTTAGAGACAGTGGGCAGCCATACAGTCTGCAGTGCTAGAGATCTCGTATTAATACATCGTGCCTGACTAGCAACCACTGCACACAACAGAACCACTTCAAACTCTTACAGATAATTATTTCTTCATGAATAATTGATTACAAAAGCAAATTGAAACAGCAATACCCTTGTCACCTTTCAAGTGTATCACAACAAAAGGATTACAAGCTTAGGAAAAGGAAGCAACACACAAAAAACAAAACCTGTACTGAGCAAAATAGAGGGTGTCATTGCTGACCTCAGCTGAAAATGCTAGTCGCCTGGCTCTCATACTGATCCTATGGCTTGAAAAAGGAACTGAACAGCCCAAAAAGGCAAACAGGGGGCAAAGAACTAATCACCAGTATTGTCATTTTCCCATTACTGTCTCAGTGTAGAGGCGGCCATCTTGGTACAGGCAGGGAAGCAGTGGATCGCTTTTCAGAGGGGCAACAGTAACAGCCACAAGTGTAAACTAGCCCTTAGGCCTCCTTCACATTGGCATTATCAATCCTGCGTTTATATGCACTTAGAGAACAGAAATCAATGCAGTCAGTTTAGCTGAGTTTAGAAAAATTTTGTATAGTACTGCTTGGACCTTGAAGAAGGGGACATTCCCCGAAAGCTTGTCCTCAAAATTGTATGTTAGTGCAAATAAAAAAAAGTATCACGGACAGTACTCAATTGTTTCTGTTGCAAATGCACTAATAGGGCTACAATCACCTCAAGAAAAATTTTAAGAAATTCTGTGCATCCAGGATCTGATTAGACACTCTAAACACAGCTAAACACATGTAAATGCAGCTAAAACATAACATCTAACTGCAGGAGTGGCAGTCTGAATGAGAACTAATTATTCTATAAAACTAGGAGAAGCCTAGACAATGGTGCCCATGGCAACGGTCAATGTTTGATATTGCTTTATATACAACTCATTGATTTGGGTGTAGCTTCTTCTCTGAGCTGTGCAAGCTTTACTTGGCTGTCTGACTTCCTTATCTTGGAGATAAAAGCAATAGATACATTATATTGCCAAAAGTATTGGTCGGCCGGCCTTTACACGCACATGAACTTTAATGGCCTCCCAGTCTTAGTCCGTAGGGTTCAATATTGAGTTGGCCCCGCCCTTTGCAGCTATAACAGCTTCAACTCTCCTGGGAAGGCTGTCCACAAGGTTTAGGAGGGTGTCTATGGGAAGGTTTGACCATTCTTCCAGAAGCACATTTGTGAGGTCAGGCACTGATGTTGGACGAGAAGGCCTGGCTCACAGTCTCCGCTCTAATTCATCCCAAAGGTGTTTTGTATCGGGTTGAGGTCAGGACTCCATACAGGCCAGTCAAGTTCCTCCACCCCAAACTCGCTCATCCATGTCTTTATGGACCTTGCTTTGTGCACTGGTGCACAGTCATGTTGGAACAGGAAGGGCCATCCCCAAACTGTTCCCACAAAGTTTGGAGCATGAAATTGTCCAAAATGTCTTGGTATGCTGATGCCTTAAGAGTTCCCTTCACTGGAACTAGGGGGCCAAGCTCAACCTCTGAAAAACAACCCCCCACCATAATCCCCCTCCACCAAACTTTACACTTGGCACAATGCAGTCAGGCAACTACCATTCTCCTGGCAACCGCCAAACCCAGATACGTCCATCGGATTGCCAGACAGATAAGTGTGATTGGTCACTCCTGAGAACACGTCTCCACTGCTCTAGAGTCCAGTGGTGGCATGCTTTACACCCACTGCATCCGATGCTTTGCATTGCACTTGGTGATGGAAGGCTTGGATGCAGCTGCTCGGCCATGGAAACCCATTCCATGAAGCTCTCTACACACTGTTGTTGTGTTAATCTGAAGGCCACACGAAATTTGGAAGTCTTTAGCTATTGACTCTGCAGACGGTTGGCAACTTCTGCGCACTGTGCGCTTCAGCATATGCTGACCCCACTCTGTCATTTTACGTGGTCTACCACTTTGTGGCTGAGTTGCTGTTGTTCCCAGTTGCTTCCACTTTGTTATAATACCACTAACAGTTGACCGTGGAATATTTAGTAGCCAGGAAATGTCATATATGGACTTATTGCACATGTGGCAACTTATCACAGGACCACACTTGGAGTCACTGAGCTCCTGAGAGCGACCCATTCTTTCACAAATGTTTGTAGAAGCAGTCTGCATGCCTAGGTGCTTGATTTTATACACCTGTGGCCATGGAGGGGATTGGAACACCTGAATCCAATGATTTGGAGGGATGTCCCAATACTTTTGGTAATATACTGTATCTTAAAAGAGACATGTCGGTAGAAATATGGAAGATGCCACTACTGACCTTCTACTAATACTAGTTGCCTGGCTGTCTCTGGCCTCAATATTTTCACCGTGGGAACAGGCATACAGATTAAAAAGTCAGAGATCAAAACTCCTAATCTGTTTAAGACTACAGCAGGCCATAGAACAGCATAAAAACCAAATGTTCTGTCAACTGAATAAAATCCAGCATGTTGCAGCATAGGGTGCAGGACAGAAAATTGCCTGATTCCCCCACCAACACTGAATCTTTCCTGCAGCGCTATTGTAATTGGCAGGGAACCTTCCCTGTTGGCAGAAAACAATGATTACTGCTAGTGGCTATAGCCGCCAGCAGTAACTGCAAAATCATACAGGCTGGTTGTATCCAAGTCCATCGAAGAATTGGCTTGGGTACAACATGCCTTCTCATTGCCCATGGATGCGATTCACATGTGGTCCATAGTGTGAACCTAGGCTGAAGAGAACCACTAATGAGCCACTAATGAGCGCCATTACCCCCATAGCCACTGTCTGAGCTTAGCTTAGCTTAGCTCAGCTTATATGGAGAATTCCCAAATCTTGGCGTCACTTCGCTGATCAGCAATTATTCGACATGTGTTCATTTTCTTATGACGAGACAATTCGCTCATAGAAATGTTACATTCACACACTTAAAGTTGAATTCCAGGTGTGACAATTTTTACAAGCTGGTCATAGATGGATCTATGTATTGGCTGGTTGATCCATCTATGGCCATTCCTATTCCTGAGAAGTCAATCTGATGATCAACTTTTCACGAAGAGGCATGCTGGAAAATTTGTGTTTGATCAGCACTGCAGTCTACCAGCTGCAGTGCTGATCAGTGTATTCTGGCAGCAGAGGAGTCCCAGCGGAAACGATTCCTCCATCCATCTTGATTGTGTGGATGAGAAATCTGTTCAGTTATTCATTCAGCCCGGTACTGATAGAAAGAACTGATCCATCTATGACAATTTTAAAAAGGAGCTCCAGTCTCCCCTCAAAAGTCAGCAGCTACAAATACTATTAATAACAGGACACCTACCTGTCCAGGGATCCAGCGCCGTCCTCAACGAAGACAGTTCTTCACCGGTCTTCAGGTCCCTGGCAAGTTCACTAAGGGAACCCGATGTAAAAACCGGCTTCCCACTGCGCATGCGCGAGTCGTGCTGTGCTTTGTGATTGGTCCTGCAGCCGTCTGGGACCTGTGCTGTGTCCCAGAAGGTTGCAAGAAGGGAGGGGGGGATGAAGAACTTCCAGTCAGTCCATCACAGTGATCTGACCAGAAGTGGGCATGGGTACCAGTCAAAATCAGGTCCCCGCTCCCCTAAGAAAAATAAAAGTTCCCAAAAGTGGGAGAGGAGGGGAGGAAGAGGCAGAACTTCTCCTTTTTGGGTGAACTTCAAATTTATTTATTACAGGTACTTCTATAGCAGCATCAATTTATGCAGCACTTTACATATATATTGTACATTCATATCAGTCCCTAACAGGGGCGGACTGACAACTTATGGGGCCCCTGGGCAATAGGGGATCATGGGGCCCCTGTGTCCTCGTCCACACCCAAAAAAGCCTATGAAAAAAGCCAATAAAAAGGTACCAGGGGCATCTCATGGGGCCCCCTACTGACCCTGGGCCCTCGGGCAGTGCCCAAGTGCTCAAATGGTCAGTCCGCCCCTGGTCCCTAACCCTACAATCTAAGGTCCCTAACTCACATTCATACATACACATACTAAGGACGATTTAGAAAGGAGCCAATTAACCTACCAGCATGTCTTTGTAGTGTGGGAGGAAACTGGAATACCCGCAGGAAACCCACGCAAGCACATGGAGAACATGCAAACTCCAGGCAGGTGGTGCTGTGGTTGGGATTCGAACCAACGACCCTAGTACTGCCAGGGGGAAGTGTATAATTGTCATACCTGTGGGATCCCCATGGAAGCTGGAAATCACTGTGGAAGGCACCACTACTACAGTGATCTGCACTAGCTTCTGCATCTGTGTGGCTACTTTGTTAATACAGGAGGTCCCTCGTTCATCACGGGTGCCATTCAGAGTACGCTTTGCACTTTCTCAATGACTGCAAAGTGTTCTCTGATTGGACGAGGTGGAGAGGTGAAGCAGTGATGTCACATTTCAATACAGTTCTGCTCACCACAGCAAGACGCCAAGGTTAGCGTCGCAACCCTATGCACTGAAAAAAAACGTGGTTCAACTGCCTGCTTTTACCGCCCACTGGCCACCCGAGTGTATAAGCTTTAAGGCCTGGTTCACACCTATGCATTTTTTTGTGCATTTTCAGTTTTTACAGAAACGCACTATAATCCTCTTAACATGGTCTCCTATGGGTCACGTTCACATCTGTGCATTTTCCACCAGTGCATTTTTTTAAAAGGGTCAGATACATCTCCTGCCAAAAATAAAAAATGACTTTTTTTCCCGCTGAACCAAATGCGATATCTCCTGCGCTCCGGGACCCAGACCGGTGGTGAGTAGATGGAATCAAACTCCAAAGAAAGAAGGAGACACCGGAATAGACAAGGTTGTGCAGCTCCACACCAAGGCTGGGGAAGCCCGAACAAAACTGTGAAGTAGAACAACAAAAAGAAGCGCACCAACCTTGCACATTACCTCAGTAACCAAAATTTATTTAGTAAAAGAATGGTACTCACAAACAGCGAATAAAAACAGGCATGTCAGTCCTCAAAGGGACTTTAAAGGCAAGATGCCAGAGCTGTGAGGAAGAAGGCATGTCCTTCGAAACGCGTCAGCTGTACTGAGTGGCTTCCTCCATGATGGGATTCGCATTGGCATCTTGCCTTTAAAGTCCCTTTGAGGACTGACATGCCTGTTTTTATTCGCTGTTTGTGAGTACCATTCTTTTACTAAATAAATTTTGGTTACTGAGGTAATGCGCAAGGTTGGTGCGCTTCTTTTTGTTGTTCTACTTCACACTTTTTTTCCCGCAGCAGGTTGCATATTTTTGTTCCATAGACTTCAATGGAAATACATAAAAAAAGGCAGTGCTTGCGTTTTTTATGCATTTCTGCTGCGTTTTTGCTGGGTTCTCCCACAAGACAAAAGACACCTCCCCAAAAATGCAACATACATCAAAAACACGTGTGAAAAAAACACAAAACGCACCAGGAAAATGCATCAACAGCAACCTGCATAGGTGAGAGCCAGGCAAAAGGACAGGTTCACACCTATGCAGTTTGCGTTTGGTCCGTTTCTGGAGTGCTTTCTGCGGTGCATTTTACCATGTTTTTAAATGTGTTTCAAGTTTTGTTTTTTTGTCTTGCTGCTAGGCAGATTAAAACGCAAAATGGATCAAAAACGTGGCAAACACACAGCAAAAATGCACTACATGCTTTTCTGCAGCATCTCCATTGAAGTCTATAGAACCAAAAACACAACTTTTTGTGTTTTAAAAAAGTCCCTGACCCTTTACAAAAAACACAGCGGGTGAAAACGCAGAGATGTGAACCTGTCCCATAGGAAATCATGTTAATAGACTGTAGTGTGTTTCTGCAAAACGCTGCAGAAACTGCTTAGGCGTGAACCTGGGGCAAGTCAGGTTTTCCCATCTATATTCTCAAGGCTTCAGCATTGGCATTAGACAGTGTTCATAGATATAAAGATACGGTCATATCCATTATTACTAGGAAAAGTCACAGCAGTTCATAAACAAGGACACAAGTCACGTCATCCTGATACATTTGGATTTTTAAAGTCACAATAGCATGGTTGGGACAATCCCACAACTGACTCTTCAAATCAAGTTTTGGTCACAATTCCCAATCTTGATTATCTGATCTTCTCAGTGCAGTATTGACATAAGACAGTATTTATCAATATAAAAATATACCGTAAGTACTCCAAATATGTTCATAATATTCACAACAGTTTATAAAACAACACAAGTCAAGCCATCCTAGCTGAGCACAAGCCAAAAATAACAAGCCCAATAAAAGATAAAATGGCCAAACCAGCTGTTGCTGAGAGGGCAGCACAGTGGCTAAATGGCTAGCACTTCCATCTGGCAGTACTAGGGTTGTTGGTTCACATCCCAACCACAGCACCACCTGCCTGGAGTTTGCATGTTCTCCCTGTGCCTGCGTGGGTTTCCTCCAGGCACTCTGGTTTGCCCCCACACTCCTGTTTTAAATTGGCCCTAGTATGTGTATGTGAGTTAGGGACCTTAGCTTGTAGCTTGAGGGTTAGGGACTGAGGTAAATGTGCAAAGTATATTTAAAGCACTGCATAAATTGACAGCACTATACAATAAGTATTCACTTTTGATACATAGATTTCCCCTGCAGTACTTTTTTTCTGCCCCTAGATGTCCTCAGTCTGGTACCCAGTGTCATTCAGCCCACTTCCTCTGTGCCTGTATCATCCTAGACCCAGTCCAGCCTGTGACTGGACAGTGAAAGGAGAAGCAGCACTGTGATGAGCTCACTTCTCTATTATTCTGCTCTCTACTCCTGTCATCATGCGCATCATGTCATTACATGAACCAAGGGGCAGACTGACCATTCGGGCACTCGGGTCAGTAAGGGCCCCATGAGATGCCCCTGATACTTTTTCAAAGGCTTTTTTTCAGTGTGGTTTAAGTGTGCGCGAGGACACAGGGGCCCCATGATGCCCTATTGCCCTGGGGCCCCATGAGTTGTCAGTCCGACCCTGCATGAACCAATTGGCTCCTTGTGTTGTTTCTTCATCTCGTATTCCAGCCCTGCTTTTTAGAGCAGCCTTTCTCAACCAGGGTGCCCAGGTTTTTCAGGTGTCCAAAACTTTGTATACAAGCCAGCGAAGGGAACAAGCCTGCCTTTTAGTTATAAAAAATCACAGGTTTTCATTGTGCACCA